GAACTAAACGTTTTGCCACGGGGACAAAGTGTGACGCATTAGACAAGTGTCTTGTGCCAGCAGCCAAAATTTTTTCTCAGGGCAGAGGGAACTGCCCTAGAACCAAATGTGTGCACCCGGGGCACGGGACGGGGCACCCCGCGAGATGCAAGGATGGCATTTTGATAGTGGTGCCATCTAGCGGCTCCATCCGAACTACGTACTCAATCATGCATACTTCGTGTATCAAACAAAGTGCACCTTAGCCTATAGCACAAGACATGTTTTGCGCCTGGCGCTAAACCCCTTCATTGCTACACCTCAGAACTGTTATTGGCCAGAACTGAACGTTTTGCAACGGGGAAAAAGTGGAGAGCATCAGACAGGTGTAGTGCCGGCAGCCAAAAAGTTTTCTTAGTGCAGTCGATTGAGATTAGCATACGTTGATGTCTCTCGACTCGACAAAATGAACTTTCCTTTCGCTGCAGTTTCAAGAGCCAATAATTATTGACAGGCGATTTCTAGCGTTTTAAGTCTGATTGAACTGCCGGAGGAGAATGGAAAGGTTTTTAGAGTGATGAGAAGCACATGACATAAGAAAATAATATGGGTGAGAAGGACGGGGGAGGGAGAGGGGAAGGGAGAAGGGGTGGGAGGCGTCTCGTCCGCGGCCGTCCCGTGCCTATGGCGGCTCATCCAAGGCCCCCCCCAGCAGCTGTCAAAAAGTTAGGGGCCATAGGCTGGTCTGGTTCGTGCCTGGGCTGGGGTGGGCGCGGGCCTCCGGCCCCCACGTCAGCCGCAGACCGGGGGGCGGCCGCAACAACCCGCGACTGGCACCACTCCCGCTGCGTATGGCGTGGCGTGCAGAGCCGATTGAATGCATATCCCGATGATACAAACTGCCAAATTTGGACAGTTTCGGGAACCGCAAAACCTGCTCCCCCCCGAACAGTTGAGCGATCCGTTTCGTCTGGCGCGATGCGGCCGGCAGAGTAGAGCGTGTTGCCTATCCTCCGCTCGTTGGGCGCACAGCCGCAAACTTGCAGTGACGCAAAGCCCAAGTGAACAGTGTAATGTAAAAAGCGAGAGAATTGGCCAAGCTTCAATCAATCTCATCAAGCTCACTCCCATATGTCGTACCTTATGTCTAGACGCATAGAACGAAAAAGAGTGGCTTACGGACCAAATAGTGGAAGTTAGTGTTGCAGTACAGTTAAAAACTTTCCAACTCAACACACGAGACTGGCCTTTTTTATCGAAATAAACGAGGGGGCAATAACTCCCTTTTGAAGTGTACACATGATTCCCGAAATTCTTGATTCCCGGTGATTCCTGTCCGCTTAGTATTATTACATAGGTTTTTCGGGGGGTTTTAGTGGTATATAACGCTTATTTCGACTGATTTGTACTTATTTCTCTAGTTTCCCGCTTATTCTAAGCGATTTCTATTGATTTTGATCAATTTTTATCCTGATGATTCCCAGACAGGTGTACACATGATTCCCGGAGTTATTGCCCCCTCGGAAATAAATAAAAGGAGGAGGAGTGAAGATTTGTAATTTAGTTTGATTGAAGAGTATGCATTCCGCTTTTAATAAAGTGGTCACTCCCTATATTTCCCACTCCTTTTACATTCCACATGCGCGGTAGTGCAAAGGAAAAAGCTCTCTAGTAGTAGCGTTAGCGTGAGACATTTTTTTGACTTATATCTCCACAGGGTTCGCCCGGGCTTTGCTTATAGTAATTAATAATGCAGTCCCAGATCGCTCCAGTCGTTTCCCCTGCTCGATCCGAACTTTGCTTCGCTTTGCTCGCGGTGGCAGGTGGGCTCGGGACACGTGGCGCTGAGCGCAGCCGCTGCGAGGGCATAGCACCCCCGGCACTAAGCTTTCCCCCTTCACGCGCGCTAGGCCGGCGCCGCGGGTTTATTTTGAGTGCACTCCGAGTGCCCCTCCTCGCGGCGGCGGCCCGGTACGCAGTGCACGGTGCAGTGCACGGTGCAGTGCACCCGCCCGGCAGCGGTCTGCGCCACCCGCCGCACGACCTCGCCGCTTGGACCCGGGTACATCGCCATGTCCATCACCCTCCTGACCGCCACAGCAAATGCCACGCGCCGGCAGGTACCGCGCTGTATCCCTTCTTAGAGACCCTGTAGTGATCATCAGGGTTGCCACGAAGTCCCAGTTTCCGAATATCCTGACATTTTCCTGACCAAATCCTGACGAAAAAGTGACTTTATCCTGACATTTTCAGAACAAGTTGACAGCGAAATAGCGCTATTTTTCAGGGGTTAAGAAAAATAACTGGAACGTTAATCGGCCATCTTTATCGAAACTGGAAACTTTTACCTTCGGGTAGAGACAGACCACAAGGGACTGTCTAAAAAATTGGGTATTTTTTTTTAGGAAAAATATACCAGAGTGGCGCACTACCATACAGCGCCACACCTCTGGCCAAAGGAGCGCCGAGCATCAGGGCGATAACCGGCACAAACCATTTATCCTGGCACTTTTACCCCAAAATCCTGACATTATCCTGACTATCCTGACAACTTTTGAAAATCCTGACAAAATCCTGATTATCATGATTATCCTGACGCGTGGCAACCCTGATCATAGGGACTGTCCTTAGAACCTTCCTGGAGAGATTTCCAGGAGGCCCCGCTCTGGAAACTCAAGTGTCGTACAGTATCACACTTATAAGTGCAGTACCATGGTGTCCTACAGTTATAAGTGTAGGACCAAGGTGTACTGCA